CTTTTTTCCTTTGTTTCCATGTCTTTGACTTTTTTACCTTATTCAAATAGGCCTAAAAATCTTACAATAAATTCCTACTGTGTAAGATGCTCATAAGGCATACTATGTGGAATATTTCATGGGAAAGAGTAGTCCTATTTAAAACTAAAAATTACATTTTAGCCAAGCTTTCTTGAAAAAATAGGTAGTAAAGCTTAGCTTACGTTTTGAAATCAATCTTTCTTTTGTTTTCATATATTTGTAAAATTCATAAGGCAGACAAGTTTTTGTTAAATAACTGATGTAAGCCAAAATGAGATTTAATTTTCCTAAAGGTAGGCTTGGTTGATTTAATTTAAATAAAAGCTGTACATTTATTTTAATTAATGTTATTCACAACATGACATTTTAGTAAGACTCATTGAATAGTTAAGCTATTAAAATCTTAACCCAAACAATATGAATAAAAATCTAGTTTAAGATACAAATTTATAGAAGACTTAAAAAATATGTTCTTACTGAGTGACATGGTCACTCTCAAATACAAATGCAGCAGTTACAAAATTATTATATATATAATTTTTTTTTGCATGAATGTTATTTTTGAAACTAAAAATGCATGATATAATTTCTTTTATATGAAATCTGTGCTTGTTTTTTTGCTTCACAAATATTTAATTCTGAGTTGAATTTGAGATAAACATACATGGATTTCACTTTTAAATGAGATAATTTTTGTTTTTGCTCTTGATGCTTGCTGTAAAATAGTCCCCCCTTATCCATGGGGGATAACTTCCAAGACCTCCAGTGGATGCCCAAAACCACTGATAGTACTGAGCTCTATATATATTATGTTTTTTTCCTATAGGTACATACCTATGATAAACTTTAAATTAGGCACAGTAAGAGATTAACAACAACTAAAGAAAGATCATGCTGGTGAATTGGAAGGGGTAAAACTAGAGGTATGGCTTAGCCGAGAGATAATTGAATCATTCAGAAAAGATGATGAGAGTGTAATTTAAGCTATGCCCTGGAGACAGGTCGGAAGCTATAGAAACAAGACTTTTTAGGTGGTGGAAAGGACATGATTAGTCATTGATGTATTGATAA